CATGCCAGGTATTGACTGCATCAAATGACTGGTCGGGTGATTGCCAAAATCCGAAGACACATAGCCGATACGCAGACGCATTCCTTTGCGGACGCTGTTTCGATCCGGATAAACATAAGGCGCTTTATGAAAGACTTGAACCTAGAAAAAAAGTGATTGAAAAACACTCTTAAGGGGAAAAAAAATTCCGAAAAAAATCTAACTGCTCAAGTTTTATTCTCATAAAAATCAAAAAAAATCTCAGTGGAAAAGAGTTTGCTGTCAATCTCGCATCACAATGAGGCGTGCCTGGATGGGGATTTTGTACAAATACCCAAGGAAAAAAGCTAATTAATCAACTCAGAAACTATGCCAAGATGCAAAACACAAGCAAAATGTGAAAAAGCATAAGTGCAATCCACTTACTTTTTCAATGCACAATTGTGCATGCTTTGCAGCAATAGCTATTCTTGTGGCATGTGTCAGTGGATAAAGCATCGAATGGTGAGGGTGCACCGATGGAAGGCGCTTCCTCTGCAACTGATCATCCACAATGGCCACCAGCTTCTTCATCCGATTATCATAATCTGTCCAATCGCATATTATCTGAAATTATACCGAATACGCACCTGCAAAAATGCACCGGAAAAAAATAATCAGCATTTTCCACTCTTAGCCAGGGGAAGAGGCGTTCAGAAATAGTTCAAATACAGCACACAACTAAAGCAATCACCCACTGACAATACCAACAAAACGCCTTTCTTTAGCCATTTTGACTCACAGGTATTTACCAGTACCAATTTACGATCGAAACGGATCAAAAAAAAAAACTGGAGAATAGCTTATTCACTGAGAAATCAAACCACAGATAATCAAAAATCACCACGCCAAGTCTCCAGCAGTGCCCTCTCTGTTCACAACGCAGCTTATGCCCAGTATGTTTCCGAGTCCTCCTTTTCGATCTTTAAGTCACGAAAAAAGTATGTTTGACATGTTAAGACGTCAAAATCTCGTATTCGCCTGATCACCTATATTCGTAATACACATTAAAATGTACTTGCAAAAAAGAACTATTAACTGCTTTATGGACTTGTGTCGCTTTAGGCAAAAAGTCCATCTCACAGATCACGACAGAAAAAGACTGGCTTTCTCTTTGCAATGGTCAATTATTAGAAGCGAGTGAACGAGAATGAGGACTAAAAAAAGTAATAAAAATAAGCACCGAAAAATCCAGAACAAATTTAAAAATTTATGAAAAAATCAAAATATCGAGCTATCAGAACAACGAACTGTTTTGAAAGCAAAAGTAAGATGAACCTGTAAGCAGTGTGCAAGATTGCAGAAAGCATCCGGGAAATCAGGCTTCAGTTTTAACGCCGTAGAATAACTCTGGATGGCATCAGGTATGTTACCAGAATCCTGGAATAGTAAACTAATGCAATCAAAAATGCGTTATTTAGTAATCTTTGGTGGATTAGTCGAAAATTTATGTACTATTGCACATCAGCAAACAAACCTACGAAATACTCCCTAATAAATGAATTAGCTGTATTTCACAGCGTAATTTTTCAACTGTGCAGATGGCAACTTTTTCTGATGGTTTGACCATCTCTTGCTGGTCATCCCAGTGAACAGTCCATATCGATCCCGACTTTTTTTGTTTTGCTTCCTGCTGATTATCAACGAAAGCATTTTGGCTGCTTTTGGTTGTCCCTGATGTGTGTTATGACCATCAACACTTGGACATTACCTTCCAATGAGGTAATCATTGGCTAAAGCTATGTAAAAGAATTGTTTGATAAGTGCAGATATGCTATGTGAAATGAATATGTTACAGAAAAGTTAACTGTCCAACTCTGTAGTTTCAGCAGAACTAAGGACGCCGTGGTAGCTAGCCCTAAATGTCAACTAATCAAGTTGCTGTCAACAGCCTAAACTCTTCAAAATTTGCTATGAACAGTCTAAATCCTAAAATCAAATAGAAATAGAAAGCAAAGGAATGGCCATAGAAGCCCAGCCAAAATTGGTTATTCCAAGCAGGATCGGCGGGGAGGTCGAAGTTGTGAAGTAGTGATTTGCGGCCGTATGTAAGTGCAAACTAAAAGAAATTCAACACGGCTGAATTCCGCATGTTTTAAGGCTGGAAGGATAGA